TCGATTTTATGAAATGTATGCATGAAAGACGAGAACAGTATGAAAACAAAGATATTGTTTTTCCTTACAAAAAAATATTGTCTTTCGTTTACGATGAATTTTATAGGATTAAGGTTAAAATATCTCTTCTAAGCTAGTGATCTTTCGACATAAATATTTTAATGCAATTTCATAATAACGAGCTGCATCGATTAATGCACGTTAAAAAAAAAATACATCATTCCATTTAGAAGCATGGGGATGACCTTCGTATGACCTCTACGCGTTCTTCTACAAAATATCTCGGTACTTATACCACAGAGTTAGGCATTTGGAATTTTAAAATTGATGATTAAAATTCTTTTTAGCGTAATTAATGTTTACGACGAATAAAATTAATTCTTGAGAAATCTGATTTAATGACTGATTTAATCGATAAGTAAAATTAAGTCGCTGATTGTTGATTAAAAGGAAAAATTTTCTTCATGCGTTTGTCTACGAAAAAGAAAAAAAAAGAAGTACGTCGAAATTCGAAACAATTCACTTCTTATTTAAACTATCTATTTGTATAAAAGATAATTTACGACTAATTTGCATTTAAAACATTTTTAAATTTCATTAGTACCATAACTTGATTCTTATGATTATATTGAGTTTTAAAGTTTGAAACATATGTGTATATAAATATAAATATAAATATATATATATATAAATATAAATATATATATATATATATATATATATATATAAAGAATCTTCAACACAATGCACTCTCTCGAAAACCTGTATAAACGTAGAAATTAATTCGCTGCCTTTTTAGATAAACTTGTTTATTTATTTTTTGGTTTGCTTTCAGATCTAATTCTAACAGGAAATTGTCTATTTTGAATCAAATCCTTCTTGTATTTGAGCTCGATGTTTTCACTCAACAATTGTTCAAACTCATCGAACTTTCAATTTTCAGATTTTTACACTGAGATATTCCTGATCGGATACATCTAAATTACTACTGTGTAATTGAAACTCAAAAAGGATATAAACGTTCCTTTCAACAATCTGCAACGTACTTTTATAAACGTCACAACTCGTGCTTTAAAAATCAACGCAGATACACCGAATTAATTTCTACAGTTAATACGGAATTAGTACAATATTTAATATCCGAGAAGAAAATGGAAAATTGTGTCTTTACCAGTACAGACACATGTATATATAAATTCCACTTATATTTGAAACGTTGTATTTAATTCATGCTCTCATGGTTAAATCCTTCTTGGTTGAATCCACTTATCCGAACATAAACTCCTATTATACGAACGAAAAAATGATAACGCGCAGAATCAGTGGGCTCCTATTGTACAGAGTGTTTCACGTAGAATGTTACAACTTATTTTCTCTCGGAAGCTGTCACAAATAATGACTTTTGAAATTTTAACGCTGTAAATATGCGCGATGGGACCATATTTCAATACGACGAAAAGAAAAAAACAATTGTCTGCATCAATAACCCGAAGGCTGATAGTTAGCAGTAGAAAAAAATATGGTAAAATTAATACAAAAATAAATACATAAAAAATGAATAAAAAAACAACTCAAGAAAATTCGTCTACAATTTTTTTAGCTGTACTAAATGAAAAAAAAACATCTTTCCGAATATACGAATAATTAATATGCCATTGCACTTTTAAGAAATATTTTTAGGATTGCACTCCTTCATCTTTGAAAAAATGTTAGCCCCTCTGCGCCATTTAACGCGTGAAAATTTCAAATCGATGTAGACAATTGTTTCGGAGAAAACAGTTCGTAACATTTTACGTGAAACACCCTGTATGATAACTATTTGTCCTGCAACAAGATATACGCAAAGAAAGTTCCACTGCAAATTGAGGACATTCGAGGACATAAGTGCAATAAGAAGGTGAGGTTATTTCACGCCCAAGTCAACATTAGAACGTGTATTCATTAATGGAAATTTTAAGAAGAACGGTCGACTAACGTTAACACTAATGACAGTTGTATTCTTGGAACGTTATTTTCTCTTAACTAATGATTTTGCACCCACGCCCCTCGGCTACATCTCAGATTTGATATCAAATTCAACATGATGATTCATATCGAATACTTTCATGTGATTCACTACAGCGCTAATGAAATTTGAAAGTATTTAATGCAATATATACATATATACGAAACAGTTATATTCTTCAGGTGACTTTCAAATTTGATTGTCACGGTCATAACAGTCGTTTGAATGAAATTTCGAAATGTTCGAAACACCGCGTACGATGTATGCATATTCGCGAAAGCGTTGCATATTAAACGTTGAAATACATTTTTGTTAGCGGAACCGCTGTATATGTGTTACCTTTCTAACCCAGAAACTGCAATCGCGACGGATTCCTGGTCTCGGTTTTCGCGACAGAAAACGCAATTAGCGTGTCGTGTAACGATGACATGTAAACTCGCGCGGACGCGAAGAACAGGTATCGGGGGCCACTCTCGTAGCGAAACAGTCGAACGAAAACTCATTTCTCTGCCGGTCCCGGGAGAGATAGAGAGGCCCCGTGCAACGCCCGAGGAATAAAACGCCGTGATTGCGCAACAATCGAACGACGGACGGGACACGAGCGAAAGATGGCTTTGAAAAGCAACGTCACCGCAAGAGTGGAAAAGAAAGGAAAGAAAAAAAAAAAAAAAGAGCAGTAAGAGCAATCACCTTCCGTATCGACGGTGATCCAGCGACGACGATCGATGATTAACTGTAACCAAGCCAGCTTACGAGTCGCACTGCGATTTCGGGCACGGATAATCGAGCATCCTCGAGATCCTCGATGATTCGAGGACGAACTCAGCTGCCATCTGGCTCCTCTTTGTCTCGATCTGCCGGTAAGGACAGCCCGGGCACGAGAATCACTAACGGTCACACATGCAAAAACAGCGAGCGACAACACAGAGGAGAAGACACTAATAATGATCGAGGCACCGAAAGAAGTCGGATATATATTGCACACGGAGATGAGACGAAACGAAAGTAGGTGTCCAGGAGGAGGAGGAGGAGGGGGAGGAGAAGAGAGTACGACGACGTCCGCTGGTACGTAAAGAAACGCGGTATTCACGCGGCGAACTATACGAAGTATACGCGAAACTAAAATGGGAGGTTAGAGGAACGACGGGAGCGCGCGAAATGCCGCGGAACCGCTGGCACGTATGCACGGTTCCGTACTAGCCGAGGACCGAACGTGACAGCGGATACATTCGAAGGTTAGATCCCCTCGGTTCGTGTGTACTGTTTGTGCCTCTCGCCGAGTTCTCTTCGCTGTCTACCTCCCCTCTCTCTTTCTACCTATCTGTGTTCGTCTCCGTTACACACTAGCGGCGACCTGAACGGTTTACCTGGCGAACGCCGGAATCGCACGAGAAAGCACGAAATCGGCCGACGATTTTACTTACGACCGACGTTTGAATCCTTTATACTGGACAACTCTCGAGAGGGTAACATTGCAAAGCTGTTTCTGATAAATAACCTGCGACGAAGGAGGTTATGGATTTGTTGATGAAATAGTATTAATTTTTGTTGTTCCACGTTGTCGATTGTCACACACCCTGCATATTTCCAGAACAACCTAATTTTTTTGTGGAAATATTAGATTTATTGTTGATTCAATACGACACTTACTGCAAATAAATACTCAGGAGACAATATATCTTCCGTCAGAAAAAAGAACAAAACTCACTCTGACGCGAACCACGTTTCACCTTTCCGAAGTTACACGAGTAGATTAACGAACTTTCGGAACAGTTGCGACAATCGCAACATCAATAATTGATCGATGCTATTCACAATCGATCGACAATCTACAATACTACGCTATTCAGACTCAGTTTCATTATTGCACAATAAAGTCGCTTAACTTCTTTATTCTTTATTTACAACCATTATTTGTTTATCTCAAGTTGTCACAAATAAAAATAGATGTTAAATTATTCCTCTAGTAAACGAATTGCGAGGAAGAAGGTTATGTTGAATCGTCTGAGTTTGTAAATATTGTAGACCGATATAATCATGTTAAAATAAACAGACAAAATGTTCTCTCAGAAGATATTATACATTTCAAACAGAATTTACTTTAACGCGAATCACGTTTTAGCTTCCAAAGACACGAGTAGACTAACGAACTTTCGGAACAATTGCGATAATCGCAACATCGATAATTGATCGATGATATTCACAATCGATTGACAATCTACAGTACTACGCTATCCAGACTCAGTTTCATTATTGCACAATAAAATCGCTTAACCTCTTTATTCTTTATTTACAATCATTTTTGTTTATTAGTTTTCACAAATAAAAATGGATATTTAATTATTCCTTTGGTAAACGAATTCCGAGGAAAAAGGTTATGTTGAGTCGTTTGACTTTGTAAAAATATTGTAGATCGTAGATCGACATAATGTCACTAAGATAAACAGACGAAATTTTTCCTTACCGTAAGGTAAATGTTCTCTCAGAAGATACATGTATTTTTCCCAAAAGAAGAAAATTCACTTTGACGCGAATCGCGTTTCATCTATCCGAAATACGAGTAGACTAACGAACTTTCGAAGCAATTGCGATAATCACAATGTCAATAATCGATATTATATACAATCGATGGACAATCTATAATTTATGCTAGATACACAGATTCTAAGGCACCGCAGTGCTGAAATTCAGTCTTATTCAGTCTTAAATTACGAAACTCCGAATATTTATACAATTTCATTCCTTAGTAAACATAATTAGAAGAAAAAACCTAAACTAGAGAACTTACTGTAATGAATAAATTTTTTGCATATTATACACATGTCTGAACACTTTTGCGTCTTTAACCTATAAATATTTTGTATCTATAACCTATAAACTCACAACACGATAAAATTATTCGATTTTCCCATATTTTATATACAAGTTTTTCATTTATTAAAATGCTCCCGCAGATTAAAATAATTGTTGTAAAGTATTTCTAAAATGTACTCACCCATTTTGTTTCCACTCCTTCTCCGCACTCGCAGACATATCGTCCGTGACTCGATACACTGGGAAAAGAAATAAATCGATTAATCGACAAACAGATCAATGTTTCCATCATGGATCCCTAACTATTGGAACTGACACTTGAAAATCGGATTTAAAAACAAAACAGATTTATGATCAGTACATAATACTTAATATTTGCAAAGGTAGTAATATATGCAAACGTATATAAAGTATATGTATAATATATATGTACATTGGATATATATATAGTACGGTATGTATGCATAAGATATAACATATAAGACATAAGTATATAAGATATATGTATATAAGTATATATGTTCAAAGAACTCACAATTTATTCTGTAATATTTTATATATTATTTTATATATCGAATAAGATGTATTTGTTTTTTTCTAGCGAAGAAAATCGTTCTAAAGAAGAAAAATCTTACAGTTCGATGAAAGATAGGTTAAAGTTTTTTAATGTATGTTCATGTACTTATCTCATCTTATTTACACTCTGTCTCTTACAAAATGCTTCTTTCGTAACAGGAGATGTTTTGCTATGAGTTTTCCCGAAAAACAATTCTATAAGTGAGCATCAAGTACCTGATATATATACTGAATGACTTCTGATTGACTGGCATTTTCCAGCGTACTGCCGTTGACTTGTAGAATTTCGTCGGCCACTTCCAACGTGTCCGCGTTGTCGGCCGGGGAACCTGTATCACATTTCAAACAATTCCGGCAAGTTAACTAAACGAACACACTTTCACAAGTACTTCAAGAAATAATAATCAGAGTAATTCAATCGTCGAATGATTTACGAGTTGAACGTTCGTGCACGTAGAAAGGGGGAGAAAGATAGAAAGAAAGAGAGAAAGAAAGAAACCAATTTCTGATATATAAAAGAACGAGTCTTAAGTGGAGAAAGATGATACGCGAGCAGACAGTAGATGAAACTATACAGACTATGCAGGACGAACGGACAAGCCAATTCGTTTGTATGTCAATGATTACACATGATAGCGTCCTCGAGAAAAAAACACGAGAAACAAAAGAGAGAAAGGGTTTCACAGTTCACGCCTACGTGCTTGACAAGCAGCTTCGCTGACGCTCATTAAACTGTATGTAGCTGGTGCTAATTAAAAAAAAAGAAAAAAAAGAAAAAGGAAAGAAGAAGAAAAAAAAAGGGAGGAAAGGAATATGTTTGTTAACTTTGCGACAGTAAACAGACAGCGAAGGTTTGTTAATGACACAGTCATCGATGCTCACCGTACAGTTTGATCTTGTCATTGTGGTTGATCAATATGATAATATATCCCCCTAGATCGACCATTTTTCCTGGCTTCGACGATAGACGGCTGGTCTACTCGATTACAAGGAGAGAGCGATGCTTCAGGCGAATCTTGACGCGACGTGCACGATTAAAGTCGATGATAGGCGCAGCCGCCCCATCACCGAAAAAACGATTCGCCGATATTCAACGTCGTTACCGCGTGCCATTCTTTCCATTTTCTCTTGCATCTTCGCATCTCATTTTACGCATCCATCGAGGTATCACGATCTGTATATCCTACGAACAATACCCACGTTTTCTTAAATGTAAACGCATTCTATCTCTTCCTCTTCCTCCCTTTCGATCCTTTCTCTTTCTCCTCTTTTTATATTTTTCTCTGTTATTTTCTTTCTTTTTTTTTTTTCTTTTGTTTCAGGTTTTAGCCTAGAGTCAAGATCTTTCGACAATGGGTTTGGCACAGTTTTCGGTCGGCTGATTCGAACCGATGCAATTGTCGAGCAACCCCGGGAACTTTCAACTTCACTAACAATTATCTAAGGCTGCTATAGTTACGTTACACCGATTAAACGACTAAAACGACGACGAAGAACTAGCGGCGGATATTCCTTAAAAAACGTTGCTAACGAACACGTAGCGTGCTTCGAGCATTCCTCTTGGCGAGAAAGAACGGTTGGTGTTATACTTTCGGTAGGATCGGCTGCAAGCTTGAAAAATGTCGTTCCTCTTTCTCCTGGTTTCCTCCTTTGTATATATTTTAATACAAGTACGAGGGATCTGTAACGGAGCTTCCTTTAACTAGTTTGTTTCGTTTCAGTTTAATGCTTAATACACCGATGCAAAAGAGTTCTGGAGGAAACCCTCACCGGGGCCCCGATCGTAGGGCCCCCCCTACATCCTTGCAACGAAGACACGTTTCTCAAATGGCATCAACAAAATTCAGAATCCCTCGAGTCCTAGCTTATTGATTAGAGCTTTCACTGAACGCGACTCCTCGCTCGCTTCGGGCATCCTGGCTAGTTGCATCCTTGGTTGCACGAGTCTGTCTGATTGTGGGTAGCATTCGGGAACCACGAACGAGCCTCGATTCGTCGAGACCGAACGAACACGGACTATCCTCATGCTAACTTCCCCTCACTTTCGTCGACGGTGGGCTCCAATTAAACGCATGTCCTCCTCCTCCTCGTCGGATAGAGTCTCATTGCACGGGGAAGCACCGCTGTTTTTACGTGCGTCGTTGCCTCTCGCTCGCTGTTGTCTACATCATCCTCGCTGTATGCCTCCCTCGGCAAAAGATATACTTACGACATCTCGATCGTCTGCAGGATCAAAAGAGCTCTTTCACCGATTATTCTTGTTATTCCCGACGAGCCGCTCTCGGGGAATTTACGGTTACTGCCGTGACGATTAACGTGTCTCCTCTTCCTTTAGATCTCGCGAACTAGCTGCAAATTCGGCCACCCCAGTTCAGTTCCAGAAGCACATCACCTTTTCTTTATCGCATTCGATTATACGAGCTCGTACTCGGACTCTGAAACACGATCCATTCGCGTCGATTCACTACACTGTGGAACTGACCCCTTGCGAAAGTCGTCCTGTCCGTTTCCCGCGACACCGGAGCTTCGAAGTGTATTGTCGAGGATGGGTGTGAACCTGTGCGTGTTAACCGACGGCGGCAGCAGCCCTGACATCGCTTGTCGTCCGCTGATCTCCATCCCTCGCCGCGAAGCGGCGGCAGTGGCGGCTGCCACCGCGCCGTCGTCACTCCCGTGGCGGTAATCCCTCCATCTTCGACTTGGCAATACTCTATCAATTCGTCCCTTTCGCCTTTTGCTTCGTCAACTCTCGTAGAAAATTCTTCCCTTTGCTTTTTAGTCAAATTCGCGTCAACGATACGAGTTTTTATCATTTTACTATAGTAGGAGCTATCGTTACTCTGTATACTATATTCACGCTTGCATGAATTTGATGCTTGTAAGTAAAATGCACGTATTTCTTATTGTTTACAGTGACTGTGTAAATGGAGAATAATTTGATTATATATATGGATCAGACTTATCAATGGAGCGTACTAAGAAATTTAAAGTAAGAGACTGGTACTATGAACGAACGAGTGATGTTTCATAAAAGAAGGAAAAGACAGTTGTTGAGTTTGATAATAAAAAAAGTCGTCTTGATAATAAAAAGAGATAAATAACGTGTGAACGAAATGTCAAATATGCAATTTAGCAACTTTGAATTTGCGTTTCGAATAATGTTCGTTTATACACGGCCATTCATGTACGCTGGATGTGTAAAAACGTGCCCGCGCACGAGCTATAGAATAGGAGACCTCTTTGAGAAGAAAAGAGAAGACCGACTGACATAGCGCGTGATCAATATAAGGGATGCTGACTTCATAATTTCTTTTCTACTTTCGACGCTATTGTCTTTCAGCTCTCGTCTTTTACAATATTAATTAACATTGGCTCAGTTAATTTGGAAACATCTTTCAGACAATGTTTCTGAGGGAGTGATAAAAAATTTATTCCAAGCTTTTTATATTTCAGTTACACGTGAACATGGTTATGGTAATTTCCCAGATGTGACATTTAAATTTAATAAATGGAAACTTCTAGCTGGATATAAGCTGTCATTAATTATCGTGTTTTGAATGTTCTGACGTAAGTGCATTATACAGTGGATAATGATGCATTAGAGTTGTGTTATGTGTAGATGTCGCTGTTACGCGAGTTTTGATCACAAATATTTAAGGTATTTTGTTAGAATACGAGTTTAAATCTCGTTTATGATTGAAATAACATTGTGATTCAAAAACGTCACAGTCCAGAGTATACTACAATAATTCAATAGCTGATAAAAATGGACAGCTAACGAAGATGAAACAGCTGATAAAAGTTCTGTGATAATGCCTGACTCATTGTTAGTACATGACCTTAGGCAATAGACGCCTATGTTTGTTATAAATTGATGCAATATTCCTTTGTGTTCGAGTGAACGTGGTTCGAAACTCTGATGCCTGAGTTTTTGAGTTTCCATAGACGTCAATCATTGAGTTTCCATATGAAGAAATAAATTTATCAAGCATCACCGTGATTGCTACACAGTGAATGTGATTTTAGTTCTTAATTAACAAGAAATGGCTTTATCTATTGGATTTGTTGCTTTATCTCTGCTTTCTGTGACAGTAGCCAACGTTATTTATTATCAACCTGAGGCTGTACATCTTGCTTATGGAGGTAAATATTACTTTAAATTAATTATCTTTTTACCATATTGCTTCTTCAATAGATTTCTGTAATAATTATTGACAAATATCGAAGAAATACATCCTGTATCTTCCAGATAATATTCATGATATCGTTGTAACATGGAGCACTAGAAACAATACTGAAGAATCAATTGTAGAGTATGGAATAGGAGGATTAATTCTAAAAGCTCAAGGAAATTCTTCTGTGTTTATTGATGGTGGGAAGGAAAAACAGAAGCAGTATATTCATAGAGTATGGTTAAGAAATTTGGAACCTAATTCTAAATATAGTAAGTAATTTTTTACTTATTTATCAGATTTTATATCAACCATATACATATATATATATATATAAATTTTTTAGTTTATCACTGTGGTAGCAAATATGGATGGTCTAATGTATTTTACCTAAAAACTGCGCCCGAGGAATCAGCACAATGGTCACCTCACATTGTTATCTTTGGTGACATGGGCAACGAAAATGCTCAAAGTTTACCCAGATTGCAAGAAGAAGCACAACGTGGATTATACGATGCAGCAATTCATATCGGAGACTTTGCATATGACATGAATACCGATAACGCACGTGTTGGGGATGAATTCATGAAACAAATAGAAGAAGTGGCTGCATATTTGCCATATATGACAGTACCTGGTAACCATGAAGAGAAATATAACTTCAGTAATTACAGGTCAGAATTTCAAGCTCAAAATTATCAATTCATTCATTTATAATTTCTTCGTTGTTAGTATAAATATGCTGTTAGGTCTCGTTTCACAATGCCTGGAGATTCTGAAGGTCTATGGTACAGTTTTAACGTAGGACCAGTTCACTTCATAGCAATTGAAACAGAAGCTTATTATTTTATGAATTATGGTATAAAGCTACTTGTTAAACAATATGAGTGGTTAAAAAAAGATTTAATAGAGGCAAATATACCAGAGAATAGGTAAGTTTTCCATGTTTTTTTCTTTTCATGATACAACAGAGATTAATAACAATGCTTCAAAGGATACAAAGGCCGTGGATAGTTGCGTTTGGTCACAGACCAATGTACTGCAGTAATGCTAATTCCGATGATTGCACTAATCATCAAAGTCTAGTCAGAGTTGGATTGCCAATCGTAAATTGGTTTGGCCTCGAGGATCTGTTTTTTGAGTACAAAGTAGACTTATTATTATGGGCTCATGAACATAGTTACGAACGTTTGTGGCCCATATACAATTTTAAGGTAATCTACCGTCGTAAAAAATACCACCATCTTAAATTCGTCTAAAATAAGAAAAATGAAACGACTCTAGGTACAAAATGGTAGTTATGAAAATCCGTATGAAAACTACAAGGCACCTGTACATATAATAACAGGATCAGCGGGATGCAAAGAAGGTCGTGAAAAATTTGTTCCACATAAGCCGGAGTGGTCTGCGTACCGTAGTTCGGATTACGGATACACTAGGATGAAAGCGTATAATCGGACTCATCTTTATCTCGAACAGGTATTGTATAGTACGGAAAAAGAAAGAGGTGAAAGGAATGTTTGTTACTAATTGTTCAACAATATGTTAATAGGTATCCGATGACAAGGAAGGTGCAATTTTAGATCATGTTTGGCTTACAAAGGACAACGTCTTGCCGTCGTACAATATGGACCTTCTTGAAAATAAAATATAAAACAAAGTGTAGAATATAATTTAGGACAAAGTAATTGAAACGATATACAGATATAACTTTTATCGTCTTTCTTTTTCGACAATGTATCATGCTCTTTGATGGTAAATAGCAAAACTGCGTATGTGCCACCAATTTTAAACAATTGATTTTTTTTAATTCTATTGTAAAAAATTTCCCCCTATTCCTTCCTGTGTAAAAACGGATAAACTACAAAAATTTGCTAATTACAAATGAGATGGAAATTATTAATAATGCGTACGTACAATATAATCCTTTAATTGTTAAAATATAAATATATGTATATATGATCATTGTAGCATATAATATTAATAATATAATATTAGGGTAGCATTTCATATTTCCATCTGATTCTCACATTAAATCATTATTTGTCAATGATACATGAATGATGCGATTCGTACTGAGGAGAAAAGAACACTTTCAAATTCGACAGTAATAGTATAACAAAGAAACGCTTTCTTTCGCAGCTAGAAATTGATTGCAAATTTTTATACTAATTCAATTAAAGCTATTAATGTTTCTATGCTTCTACTTTTAAAATGGAAAATCCATTGCCCATTGACTGGCTCCTTGCCAAGTGTAATTTGCTATTTTGGCTTTCGCTATAATATTTGACTAATGAATTTAAAAAAATAACCAGGAACTGCTTTTCTATAAATTATTGCGATAAAATTGACAACGAAGCCAGAAAGTATCGAATACCATCCTTATTAAAAAAAAAAAAAAGAAAAAAAATAAATAAAAAAAAAAATGAAACTGTAGCTACGATTATCAAATATCGTTCTTCTATATAGAAGAAACATGCCACTCTTTATGACGTAACACAGTTTAGGGGATAAGCATAACTTTTTCACTTCTCTTATTTTGTTTTCGATTTAAACAAACATCCAATCCCCGTTATATCACCGCAAACCTACTCAGCAGGTATAAATATTAATTTAATTGGATCCTATAGTACATAACTTTTTCATGTACAATTTTAATGAGTATGTGCATGCATGCGCATGTACACGCACACATACGCGAATCTGCCATTGGAGATATGTGTTAAAACCTTATAAAGATGCACAAAAAAGCATCATAAATTAGCGAAAATAACTGATATTTCGATTTATCTGCGTTAAAAAAAATTCTTCCAAATTGGTAGACAAATTGCGAATATTCGTCATAATCGAATGTCTGACTTTTTTTATGCATTTAGCCATACATCTCATTACGTAAACAAAGGAAAAGCTTGACACTGTCAGTGATTAATGGAAACAATGGAAGAGGTTGCTGCTGAGTGACTTTCCTGATAGGAAAATTGGGGGAAATGCTCTTGCTCTTCAGCTATTGAATTTAAACCAGCCCCACTACCTAAAAATCCTTGATCAGGTGGCGTAAGCTCGACGCTCTCACCCGTAAATTCACTATCAAAATATCGGGTATCTGTATCAGACGTTACTTGAGGCTTAAAAGGAGGAGGAATTTTTTTCTGTACAAGATCCGACCAATCAATTGACGAGAAAAATGCATGATCCATAATTTCTTTCGCATCGTTAGGTCCACCACCTAATCTTTTACTTGGATCTTTAATGAGTAATCCTGAAAAAAAGAAGCAGAGAAAGTTTAGAAGTTTAATAACAGTTTCAGAAGACAATTATTCAGTTTACAATTGTCCAATCTACATACCACCAAGCATGTCTTTTGCTTCGTTACTGATTGTTCTAGGAAATCTTACTTCTTCCATTACAATAAGCGTGAAAAGCTTTTCATGGTCTTTATTATAAAAAGGTAATCGGCCACAAATCATTTCATACATAACAACACCGACTCCCCACCAATCTACAGCTCGTCCGTAATCGTTATCCTCTAATACTTCTGGCGCAAGATATTCAGGGGTTCCGCAGAACGTTTTCGTCGTTCTTCCTGAGTATTTGAAATGTCACCGGTATTTTTCGCCATGCATTTAAATTTAGAAATATTTTAAGTATGTACAACGTATTTACCGTACGTTATATCTTCTTTGCACAATCCGAAGTCAGCTATTTTAATGTGTCCATCTTTATCTAAAAGAAGATTCTCTAATTTGAGATCACGGTAAATGATACCCTGCGAATGAAGGTAACCTAAGGCTGAAATGATTTCAGCGCCGTAAAATCGTGTACGATCCTCGCCAAATACGCGGGAGCGTCGCAAATGAAAGAACAACTCTCCACCGTTTACGTATTCCATTACGAAGCACAGCCTGTCCGCTGTTTGAAAGCTATACTTTAACGACTACAAATTAAAAGAAGCATTAATTAGCATTAATATAAACGCGCGCGTGATCGATATAACAAAATGTACAAAAGACGTACAATTAGGAACGGATGATTCGTAGTTCGTAGTACTCTGTTCTCAGTAAGCGTGTGCGCAACCTCGTCCTTACGTATAATAACTTCCTTTCGTAATATTTTAATAGCGTATAAATGGCCCGTCGCCTTTTCTCTACAAAGAATAACCTTCCCAAATGTACCCTTCCCCAGAACTTTCAAGAATTCGAAATTTTCAAGTGTCTGAAACGAAAGATCAGAATGCACGTTATTAAACATAAAACATCTAGCAAATCGACAGCAGAACGACGCTTATTACTATTATGTACGTACTACTTTCTTTTTTCCTGTGCTTTTACTACTCGACGTTCCTTGAACACTAAACTTCGCAGATAGTTCATCGATACTTCCACCATCCACGTCCGACGACACTACTCCAACAGATCCACACGAATCTGACCTACCACCTCCTGAAGATTCCATGTCAACGTCTTCGGACGAAGACGAATGTTGCATTTGCGTAGGCTGTTGTTGAGAGTGTTTTTCACTTGCTAACCTAGCCGCTACGTACCTATAAAAGGGTAGAAAGAAGAATGAAAAGATGAGAAAGAACAGGCTATTGTACAAAACATTTTAAAGAATCTGTAGTTTTAAAAGAAAAATCTCTATATGCTTTAGTCTGAGAAAATGTCTGTCGAACCTAATTGCTGCCACCCAATCCTCCCTTTCTTGCTCCGTTTCCACATGGAACGTCCTTTCTATTACAGCCGCCCATTGCAAACCTCTTATAACAAATGTGTAAGGCTTAGGTCTATCTACAGACATAATCTGACAACCGCGAACAGTGAAGTTGTTCAATGGTTGTGCCGCGGCTGCCATTTGTTGGTCTGGCTTGGCTTTGAACCCAACCAACGTGCCGTCGTCCCTCAAGACAAAATATCTTGACCTCCAATTTTTTATATGTTCTCCTGCAAGCAACAGATGAAAAGAAAAACGCGTATAAATTTCTTAAGCTTAATTTGAAAGAGATCTGACAAACAGTATCTGTCTGGCACAACGATCAAAGCTGGCAATCAAAGTGCAAACAGATACTGTGTCCAATGGTACTCTGTTCTTTTCGTCCTTCTCTCCGAGATCTCCGTGAAAAATAGTTTCATCTTGACGTTCTGTCATTAAAAAGAGGAGCACGCAACAAAGTAGGCGGAGATCATCGCGAGAAGGTGGAAAAACTCGGTCGCTCGGACTCGGGTTCGGAGCCCCGGAACGGAGCAAACGGGCCAAACGAATGTAAATATTATGAGACTGTTCCGTAGTACCGCGTTTTTGCAGCCAGCCTTCCTTGACGACACGCTGACCACCGCCACCGGACGCTGCGACGTTCATCGCTGCGTCCCCCATAGCTCCTTCCTTAATGCGCACTTATGCACACCACGCGGCCGCTTGGTGCTTCTATCCAGCCGGGATATTCCAGGAAAATTATCGAGATACAATACCGAGGATGGCACGAGTGTACAAACTTGAGCAATCATAGATACACGTTTGGCAGGTAAACTCGGCTACACTCTGTGATCGGCGGACACACTAATGCGCACTAACTAGCATTGCCCCCACGTATTTTCGAGATGGCGCGCTGATCGATCGCGAGTAAAGAAGAATTCTCATCGGACGGTGCCCGTCTACTTTCAGTCAGTCCCAGACCATTGATACGGATATCGACATTACTCATGCCCGTCTATATCTTCTACGATCTCGGGCGCGCATGCGTACCACTCTTTGTTTATTATGATTTATTGTATATACGCCTACACGTTACGTTCGCCCATGCACACCGAAACGAGAAACAAACTGTCGCAAAATACTTTGCATTGCTTCATTGCGTTTCGATTATATTGTATTATATATTATTGTATTGTAATGTGTTACGGTTGTTGGAAACTTAATTACTTAGTTAATATTTTCGAACTATTTTGGCGTGACAACTCTTTTTTTTAATTACCGAGACAGAATTTATTAAAGAATTATCTATTTTAATAAAAGTAAATACATATGAAAATCAAAATGCATGTAGATATATATATGTATATATATATATATATATGGAGGTGTAGAGAAAACTACAGATAGCTAATCAGAAGGCGTGACGCGATTGCAGTTCACATGTAAACGAATATTTCCCGTCGATAAAGTTAATCGAACGTCTTTTCTGAATCAGCTTTCAGTGTCGCTGGAATGACAATGACTTCGTCGTGACACATGTGCTCGATTTCGACGCGTGTCATCGAAATTGTCCACCTCCCACCCTCTTGCCACCGATGATCACATCTGTCAGTAGGTTATCGGCCGTCGTTCGTGTTCGTTAGTTCTTTCTAACCTATTCGATCTTTTGCGAATTGATACAAAAGGACTCGAAGAAGCTCATAATTATTATCCTCGTAAAAATGACAATCGTTGCACGTCAGATTCCGAGCAGGATTTTGAACCTGTCTGATCGTTGAGATCAAAATTATGCGCGGTCAGTGTTTGTTTGTAGAAAGATAGTAGAATTTTGCATTGAAACATAGAATGGGTCCGCCGCCAGTGGTGACGGGGATATCTCCCAAGGAAGGACCTCCAGGTACCCGCGTGATCGTACGCGGTGAATTTTTGGGTAACAAAGCTCAAGATCTCATAGGTAAATTTCACCTCTTATGTATATCTGCATTTTTCATTGTAAAAAGAACTTCTTTATCGACGGAGAATTCTTCAATACAATTTAGGTTTGACAATATGTGGGTGCGATTGCCTTCTATCAGCAGAATGGAAATCCTCAAACAAGATCATTGCCAGATCAGGACCGTGTAAAGGTCGGGGCGATATTATAGTGACTACCCGCAGTGGAGGGCCAGGAACATCCACGGTACAGTTTCGTGGTTACCATGAAACCATCGGCCCTATGAAAGAGTCCGCGGTATGGGTGGAAGAGGCTCCTATGCAAAGCTTCGTCTGGGGGAGGAGAACTCTTTCACCGACAAATTATCAGCAAGAAGACCCTTTGGGCTTAAGCGTTGAAGGCAATGAGTACGTTTAATCAACTTCTTTGAATTCACAAAGATCCTCTTATATGTCACGCTTGTTACAGCAAGAAGTTTCCCGAGGATGAATTAATGGAACTCTTTGGAGAAGGTAGTGGGGACCTCACTAGTGAAAAATTTCATCCCGGTTGGTTTTTGTTGCAACATCATCATGCTACCACTTTCGAAGATTTGAAAGCTGGACTGGCTTATTTGAAGAGAAAAGTGAATTCTCAGAAAGAGGGTCAATTATCATTTTTAAAGGTCTTGATCTCCTTGGCTTAAGAAAAGAGAAGATTATATCTATATCTTCTTTATGTTTTCTTATTACTTCGTTCGTTTCTTTCTTCTCTTCTTTTAGGCCAATGTAGGATCTGTAATGGAACAGTTGGATACAATAATATTGTTAAAAGAGCAGTTTGAAACGGACGTAAAAACATATGGTAGTGATCCTACTGAGAAGTTGGAAAAATCTATCAGTCAGTCTATGTCAGAAGCTAACAAGTTATTTGATGATGTGCTAGCAAGAAGAGACAGAGCTGATGCAACAAGAAATGCATTGTCCGTAATGCAAAGATACAAGTTCCTTTTTTGTATGCCAATCAATATAGAAAAGAATATAAAACGTGGCAATTATGATCTTGTAATTAATGATTACGCAAGAGTAAAAAATTTATTTAAAAATACGGAAATCGATGTTTTTAAGAAAGTTTTGGATGAAATCGATAACAGAATTGTAATGTTAAAAACACATCTAAGGAACAAACTTGAAGAAATGCCTTTCAGTCTGGAGGAGCACAAGAAGATAATTAGAAACCTTGTCAATTTAGAAGCAGAAGGAGATCCAGCTTGGGATGCAATAGGTATTTCACTATAATATTGTATATTAATGTACTTACATTATATTTATAATTATCTTCTTTAGTCTCGCATTCGAATTACTTGAAAAAAAGCATTACGAATTGTATGCAAGAACATCTGGAAATAAATAATTTAAATGGAGAAGATTCAAACAAAGCAAAATCAACGCAGAACAGTAAACAATCAAAATCGAACAAAAATGATGGAACTAATATCCCTCCACAAATATCGTGCGTTGAAACAATTTGCGACATAATTGTTGAGCAATTACCAGACTTGTGGAGATTGGGTCAGAGCTACTTCACAGGACAGTTACATGTTGCAGTAGATGCAGAGAAACAAACACCTTTCAAGGTACAGCAAAATATTTACCAAATTAATTGTTAAAAAGTTCAATTTCTATTAAAAAAAAATTAATTATTTCGGTACAGAATCTGGTATTGTCAAGTATGCAACATGCGATGGAAGCCTTGAAAAATACATGTAGCAACGATTTGGATGCTGTGTGGCTTTTACATATCTTGCGTAGGATTAGACAAATGTACGCTTCGTTGATTCACTTGGATTTGCCAAGCGATGCGTTAGATATTTTCGGAAAATTCATACTCGACTTAAGGTACGAAATGTTGTTGCGATATTTTCTTGGTTTTATTGTACATAACGAATTCGAATTTTTCAAATTAGACTGCGGTGCTTTCGTACTCTGTTCAAACAAACTCAAGAGAATATAGCTACTTTATATAAAAAAGAAACTTGGCAAATTGAATATTTAAATGAGGACGGTGGCGTTACGAAAGTGGTAACAATTAAATTTAGCTTATAAATATATATACTTACTTGCGTACACACAGTATTTTATTAGATATATTCGTTTCTATCTTTATAGCCATATCTGTTTGAAGAAATGGTTATAGAAGTCGCGAAACGAGCACGAGATACAGTAGTTGCTTGTGGCCCTCGAGAGGAACCTTTGTTTGCTAATACTGCTCATCAACTTCTATACTATCGTTCTATCGAAGCATTGTTTACAACGTTCACAAGATTTTGCTTGCAACGATTGGCATTCAGCGGCTGCGACGAAGCTCTAGATGATGACGAGCCATCTGTGTCTCAATTAGTTGGCTCTCCTTCTGGATATAAGAGCAGGAGTAACAAACATCAAGGCCCAGTAAGTTTTACAGCGTACTTGCAGCGTGGTATGTTTATAGAGGAGACCGTTTATTTCAGGGAAGATAGTCTATATATTAATTGTCGTTAGAAAAAAAAAAGTACAAAAATTTGTAGCATCTTTTGAAGTCAGTGCTGCATTTTAGCATTACTTCTGAATTTTTTATCAGACGTGGGAACAATACCTCTTAATCTCATTAAGTAATATTCGTTATACACTGAACACCGTCCTACCAAGAATTGGAGAGGCATTGAAGGATCAGGGTTATCCGAGTCTGTCTAATGCGATTGGATGGAGTTCCGATTGGACGCAACTTAGTACACTGGACACGGCTGTCCTGGATGCGTATTTAGAACGACGCTGTGACCCATTGGTTGGCACAATTGAACCGAGTATGTATCTGGGCGGATTAGAATGGGATTTTGAGACTGAGCCTACTCACGTCAGGCCGTATGCACAAGAAATTCTAGCAAATTTAATTGCAGTTCACGCAGAAGTACGTATCGTTTACTTTTACATTGATGCAAGTGATTCTTAATTATTTAATGTAATTTCTATAATTACGATTTAATTCTTTCTTACAGGTGCGCCGGGTCGCACCAGCTTTATTACAACGAGTACTCTCTCACATAGTTGAGACAGTAGCGGAAGAACTTGCAAGGCTTATGTCGTGTGTTACTCAATTTGGATCGGCCGGTATTGTACAAGCACGTACAGATATTACACTCTTGCGGAGTGCCTTGCAATCTTACAGCACACCAAGAGCAAAGTAATGATCTCTGTTCTCGGTTTTTTCTAGCCAAATATGCAATAACAAATAGAAAATGTACTAATGTAATAATATATCAATTTCTGATCCACAGGGATTTCTTTGAAGAAGCATTAGATGCGATACCGAAACCAATTAACAAAGACGACTACGCGCGAATCGACATGTTGTTTGTAAAAGTAAAAACGTCTATGCATTTGCAACTATCGTGTCTTGCCAATGATGCAACAAATAATACTCCTATCAATACATTGATTGCCGATCCTAATCGCGTCACTACTGTATAGCTTTAGTAGCAATTTAAGAATCTGAGTAAGTATTTATTGTATTTGTCATTATTATTCTCTAGATATTATTATATAATGCTAATACCCTTTATTTCAGTTTACACGTACACCGCTATTAATGTGAATGAACGATACAAATTTCACCTTAAAAATTGTTAAGTTACACGTGATAAGAGAGAAAATAAAAATTGTAATCTTTTCAATCATGTTTCTTCACCAACTGCAAAACACCAGTATCTGCGGTTAATAGCACAGTATCTCCTAGAAATGTACATATATCTCTTAGCATTTGTCTTTTCTTTCTCTTGAAAAACAACGATATATTACCTGTTTCAAACATTTGTGTAGCTTTCTTAGCTCCAATTATGCATGGAAGACCATATTCTCTAGCTATTACAGCTCCATGACTAATAAGTCCTCCCAGCTCCGTAACTATACCGCTGAGTAATGGGAAGTATGGACTCCAGGCAATATCAGTAGCGTGAGTAATTAAAATATCACCTTGTTTTAACGAGTGTATTTCTGATAAATCCGTGATTACGCACGCTCTATTCAGAACAGAGCCCCCACACACTGGCGTTCCTTGAATTTTTTCAGATTTTTCATCTACTGCTATATCTACGTCGTTCTGTACAAACATGATTTTATCACTTTTACAGATAAACAGTATTCGTATACAAAAAAAAAAAAAAAAAAAAAAAAAAAATGTATACCTTCGCAGGGGTCGGCAAACCAGTATTAATTTCTGGATACTCCAGTTTTTTTAACTGAGGAAAGATTCTTTTCCTACGAGAAGCTCTAAAAAATTGTGTAATACATATATCAGTACGGTAATTGATATAAAGGAAACAGACAATTTTAATGATTTTGTTACTTTTGTACTAATGCTGTATCATGATCAGTCAACAGTTTTCCTATTTCTTCCTGTGTTAAAAAGAATATTAAGTCTTCGCTGGGTAGATATCCCTCTAAAACCATCAGTTTTCCTAGTCTTCTGTAAGCTAGTCTAAATATATGTATAACATACACAAATATCGACTTTGTCAATTCTCGACGAACAACAGCTTTTCTAGATAGGGGTACAACCTTCTTCAAAATCCATTTAGTAAATCTTTTCTTTGGTGTTTTCAATTGCGCTACTGTTTCTTCCACGTTGAGTGATTTATTTGAATTGTTCGATTTCGGAGCCACCATCATTATCTAGTAAAATAATTTGTCTTGTATATATTAATATATAATGTCTTTTATATAATATCAATATATTAATATATAATATCAATATAATATAATATCTTTTATAATTAATATATAATATATAATATTCGTTATGCAATAATTCAATTTACCTGAAGCGTACTAATAAGATCATGGGGTCTAAGAGACCATGGCTCTGATATAAAATCCATTTCTTGAATACATCTATGTCCGTGCTCTTTAAGAAGAACGTCCAGTTCCTTTGCAGCTTGTGGACAATTAACTTTTAACCAATCGATACCTTTAGTTGGATCAACTTCTCTAAACTCTTCATCTTTTTCATTTCTTTTAATATAAAGCACTATTTTTTTAAGCCTTGTTACCACATCACCACTAACAATGTCGCTGCAAGAACCTAATAAAATTGCAATATCTGAGAAGTGCTCTTGCACGATATCTTCATAGCCATTTGTTAGTAATCCCATTGCTAACATTTGATAAATGATACTGACTCTTGTTGCATACATATGACATACCCCTGCCTAAAAGTTTTGAGGAATTAAATAATTTAGTGTTAATTTAATTTTTTCAGTATCTGAACATACCTTTGACACTACATCTTTACGTTGGTTAATTTTATTGTATAAACTATAAGCAGTATGATAATCGTCTATATTTAAATTCAAGTCCTGGCGAATCTTCTTTGCAGTTTTTTCTATTTTACCATTATTTATTGTACTTAGTACCATTTTGTACAGCAACAAAATTCGATCTAAACGAGTAGATTCGCCGTTTCTTTCACGAGCAACTTCCATTATTTCTGGAGTTATTATAACATGTCCGCAAATACCAATATCCGAGACTTTGTTAAGAAGTGTTACAGTTTTGCTAGGTTGTCGTAAAAACGTCTATATAATAGTAAATGTTCCTTAGTTTAGACAGTATATTTATAGTATATTTTTTAATTAAATTCATAATACTACTTACATTATAATAGTTTAAGCAAGTTCTCATACCAACGATATGAAAGAAAATATTATCTGTACCCTGATATATACACGTTAAATGGTTCAATATTTTTATAGTCATAGAAATTGCCAAAGGTGACAACGGATATGGAAATACTTCGCCCACGTTAGCAAATGTGAACATGTCAATATCGCTAGGAACGCCTGAATCCAACTCGTGTGTCAATTCAAAATCTGTCCACGTATATAAAGTAGTAATAGGTCGAGCTTGAAGCAAATAAATATTTTCATTGACCACTGCCCATTCTATGTCTCTGGCACTACCGAACAACATTTCTAAATCCATTCCTGTAGCAGCTAGTCGCAGAGCGATTTGTTCTGACAAGCAAACTGTTTTATTTTCTTGCTCATTGAGTTCAATCGTAACAACTCCATTATCACTTGATAGTATCTTTTGTTGTTTATTCCCCGCTAATGAACTTTTCACAGTTAATTTACCATCCCAACTTTTGTGAACAATTATCGTGTCTGGTTCAACTGTTGCTGAAACAACAGACTAAATGGATAGAAAATTTATTAGTTGACGTTGTTCTTTTAAAATTATTTTTACGATTTATGATTGCACGATAGTTTAATTATACCTCTCCTAATCCGTAATTAGCCGTAATAAGAATATTCGATGGATCTCCAGTAGTTGGATGCCTGGTGAACATGACACCAGCAGCATCAGCGTTCACCATTCTTTGTACACATACTCCCATAGATGTTTTTACAAACATACCATGTTGTTTTCTAATATATAAATTATCTAGTATTAGTAGTGCAAATATTATGGAAGCTGACTGAACATTATTATGTACCTGTATTTAACACTTTGATATGAAAACAAACTTGCCCAACATTTGGCTACACTCTTGACAATATTATCTTCACCTTGGATACTCAAATAGGTTGAATTTTGACCGGCTGCTGAAGTTTCCTCACTATCTTCACCTACAGCACTAGATCTTATTGCATATCTAGATGGTTTATCACTACTGTTTTCTGACTCTAAGCTTTCTATTGCTTTTAAAATTGAATCTTTCACTTCGTCAACGACAGGAGTCGACTCGATAATACGCATAGCTCTAAAAATAATGAATATTCATTAGGAACAAGATACTTAATATTCTATAATTGTATTAATGAAATTTACTCGTTGCAATATTTTTGAAGATCACCATCTTTCTTCCCAACACTGACATTCTCGATATCGTTAATTACTTTTTGCAATTCTTTGTGTGTACGTAATTGCAACTCGAGAGCGAAAACAGTCACGCAAAATCCTCTTGGTACAACAAACTGCAGAAATAGTATATTACAACATCTCGGGAATGAAAGAGTGAAACAGTAAAATTTATAACACGGCCCACCTCTGCATCCTTAACGGAAGTTAACATTGCGAGAGAATATCCTTTCCCACCGACAATATTTTCATTTTGACATTTTCTATCATTGAAATATATAACGTAATCGTTTTTTTGCACTGCACTACTAAGTTGCTTCAACAATTGTAGAGGTACAATTGTTTTTCCTTTATGTGGTCCATTATAAAGAGACCACAATTGCAGTAATCCAACACCTGTTTTCCCATTCATTTCCAAATTCACGGTGACAATTTTGTTTAATGAGTTCCACGGTTGACCGTAGTATAGTGTTATTGTTTTACTAGGCTTTATGATAATATCGTATCTTTTATTTTCGGCTGAAATTAAACATGCAATATTAATCGTTTGTAAGTTTTACAACATGAATATTTTACATCAATTCCAATTTACCTATAAACCACGTTTTATATTCTAAATTATTATTAAGTTTTCCTTGTTTAAAGTCTGATAATTTGAGTCCTATTTTGCTAATTTCACATTGACTTTCATTACTAGTTCTGTATTGACCAAGTTGTATTCTGAAATTATAATTTTTCATTCAAAATAATTTGATCGCAATTTAAATTTAATCGCAATACATTATTCAACTTACTGTGGAAAACTATGTTTTGTACTGCTCATATTAAGATAGTACATGGCACCATGCAACATTATTCCAAATAAAGTAACTGATTCGTAAAACTCATAAGATTCGTGTTTTCCCCAACGATGTTGATGAAGTCCGCGCAAATACAGCGAAGAAATAGATCCATCTTTATAAGTTACTTGGCCTAACATAGATCCCCATTGATCGAAACCTTTATATTCTAATAACTTTCTGTAAAAGTGATAATTGCATTATTTACGCAAATGAAATAGTAACGATAGTATTTTAATAATTATTAAATACATTTTATTTATCCATTGATGACTCTTCCAAGGATCACAGGCTAACGCTTCAGCATGTAATTTTGAACTCCAATCTTCTGGCCATTTCAATGATCGGGTATATGCAATAAATCTAATATTTAAAAAATTATTAATGCAGGCTTTAACTGATGGAATTAAATATTAATTAATTAGAAGTACTTATTACATGAAATTGAAGCGAACATGTTCAACATTATCGTCGTTACATTCATCACCTTGAGTTAAGTTCCTAAGCATTCCATTGTAAATTATTCTCCAGCGTTGTTGGAAGTCTAAAAATTCAATTCTAAGGCCACCTGCTGTCCATTCGTGAGTTAAACTACTTGTCAAAGTAGTCTCGGGATATTCTGTGGAATCATTGTATACTTTTATTTAAAAGTTTTAGCTAAGTTATGCTTTAGTTAAAAATAAAACTCATAAACATTTTTATACCAGGCAAAACATATAGTCGACCATCAGATGTAGCAAGTTGCAATGATATTTCTGCTATTTTAAACGCTCTGCGAGTGAATTTAATTGTAAGAGAATTTCCTTTTTGATCTGTACCGTAAAAAAATACACTATTGGCACTCTATATGCAAATAAAAATCGTGATTAATAAAATTAATATTTTTTAACTTTATAAAAAAGTCAAATACTTACATCTTTATCTTTGATTTTTGATTCTGCTAGATGACGTTTTTCTTCATTACGTAAATGTGAAACATTCTTTTCTCTTCTCTTCATCCAATTAATACAATACTCTGCCCACAAATATTTTAATAAAAAATAAATATCTAAAAGTAAATTTTTATTAATGTACATATAGTTATTTTATTTACATGAAATAAAAGATACTTACGTGGGATGTTTTGTTTCAAATCTAGACATGATGAATTGTATTTCTTAACTGTTTTGCTAATCCAAATATATAGCCATAATGGTAAAAAAATGGAACATAGAATTTGAATAACAAATAAAACACTTATCATTGTTAAAATACTTTGTTTTACATAAATTGTCAATGAAAATAATTCCGCCGTTAAAATAAGTAAACGTTAAGTAGGATAAAGTTTATCTTTCTTTATTTCATCTTATCGCAAGTTTTTATCTTGATTAATTATTATTCTTTATCATTGATTAATAGATAAACACTAAATTTGAATCTGACATAACTTTAATATAAATATCTTTCGTATAGACATGAAACCTTCTTCCTCGACGATTTAAATGACATTTCAACCAACCGTGAAACGTTTAAACGAAGTAAATATGAAACGTGTCTGATGACCACACTGATGTATATGTATATATACATGTATGTACGCATGTGATAATGTTAATTTATCGTCTATATATCTAAGTGACACAGTAGTCGTCAATCAAAATTGACCTTGACAAATAATTGCATGACACTATTGATGTGTGATGTTGAATCCACGATCAGTTAAAAGACTTGTTTTCAAATGCAGATATTTTTTTATATGTTTCAATGTTAATATCACAGTATATGATAATAGGTGTTGAAAGAATAAATAAAAATTAATACATCTAATCCAGATGACTAATGTTAAATTTGATAAATTCTTATTTACGTATTAAACAGTCCTTATTTGGACTATCTACTTGTCTTGATTAGATTACAAAATTAATGTGTTGCATCATACAATGACAAAACATTTACAAAATATTTCTAAATCGATACGTACATTCTAAAATTTATAAAGTTTCATAGTAAGAATTACACTATTATATTCAAAATATACTTTTCAATAAGGTACAAAATAAAATAAATATTTAATTATATCTTCATCATAATTATTCATTATATTTTCATACCTTAACAATGTCGTTATATTTCTAATATATCACAATGAAAAATATTTATGCATCAGTTGCTTTTAGAAATGTAAATATATACATATAATTACTTTTAAAATAATATGACAGCCATAATATCTAGGCGTCAATATATTTTTATTTAATGATGATTGATCATTAATGAAACATCAGTCAATGTCATAGTGACATATATACCATAAAATATTTAAAAAGATTGAAAAACAAAAAGATAAAAATTGAATAAATTCACTTTAATTCGCCTTTTTATTTGAATGTGAAATTGATTCCTCGCCAATATCGTCAATGTCTGGACGAGATTTATCTACTGGATATAGCCTATAAATAACAATATTTATATGACATTAACAACATTAAATATGTGAAATTCAATGAAAATTCATTACTCACCATCGTTGATATAAATAAATAAGAAATACTGCATCGTCTCTGAAACATGCTATCCTATGTGCGGTTGGCGTAGAGATAATAAATGCGAAGATATCGTCTATAAATGTATTGAATGCTTTGTACATGAACGTTCTCCATGGTAGGTGTGCCACAGACTTCAACTTGTAATTCACAAAAAGTTGGGGAAGCATAAACAGAAATCCAAAGGCATAAACTCCGTTTACTAATGAACTTATACTCCATGAATACCAGCTGAAATTTGAAACGTCATTTACATAGCAATTTACATAAACTGCAGATAAATTTCAATACATTACCTTTTATGTGGTTGATAAAATAATGAATAAATTGCACCACCGATAACAAGAGGGTATAACAAATAACTTAAATAACGCATACTCTCTGCATCGAATTTTCTTGTTCTAACTTCAGCTCTATTATGGTTATTATTATTTATAATTCTGAGTTTAAACACTTTCTTCAATTTCCACATCTGTTCAAATGAGAGAGAGAAACAAACAAATAAAAGAATCTATATAAAATGCTAACAGATAATAGAATATTGATTTTAGCATTACCTCGATCACAGATGCAATTCCAGTGGGAACTAGAACAAGCGAGGATGAACCTTCGTCTAGCAGGTAAAGAAATATAATAGTTTGACTAAATGATCGCCATACGACAGTCCATTTACTGAGTCCTACGAGGTTGTTTTTATTTTTCCAATAATTCACGTCGTTTTTAAAAGCAAGGAAGTCGAATAACAACTACGGAAATATAAAATTGAACTTTAAACCGAAATTACATTTTAAATTATATTATAATCACTAAATCAGTTTACACACGTGAATAGCTGCAATAAAGAAAGTCCCTCCTAAGATGTATACATTAGTGTCCGCAAAGATTCCTTTCGCCTCGTCTATATCTTTATCAGAAAATCCAAGTTCTTTCAAATTCTTCATGGCAGCTTCTAGGTGCAACAGTAATCTCAACTTTCCAATAGAGATCGGAGAGTATTGGAATGTGATATTAATTGTATCATTTTGTGGCATGAGTCTCACCAAATCTCGCTGTTTGGTTTGCAAAAAGTCGTAATTGATTATAGGTAAAAATATTTTGCCCTGTACAAGTCTAAAACAATGAAAACTCCTGTTAATATAGTTGCTTGTGGATTATTGTTGCACAATGTATAAATAATATTATAATGTACTTCAAGTGATTTGAAAGTTCCGTGGGTATGTTAGACAGAGGTAGCTTCACATTGTCGGTCATCATTGTAAGCGTGATACAGCTTTTAATATGCGTTACTCGATTTGCATGATTTTGTTTCTCCTTGGGATTCAAACTCTTTTCGCCCAATAGATTAAAGGCTTCTGCTTCGGGGAACGCATACTCTGTCATTTTAATGACAATGTAAGATACGTATGGATCCTGCAATAGTTACATTATTGATCATTGCACGCAAAGAACATAAATTTACAGATGTGAATTATATCATCTTCCGTACTCTCTGCATACTGATGATACTTCTTCCATAATTTTTATATGGGTATGTTGGTGCAACAATGATGTGAAAAAACAACGTTCCATTATTCTTTGTTATATCTGGGACATTCAAGGTTAATTGTCTGAAAGAAAAGTATAATACACAAGTAGGTATGTAAAGTTTAAATGTTCATTAAAAAATCATGCAAATTCATATTGCAATGGAACAAAATTACATGCATTTGTAATGAATTAAAATCCAAGCAAGGCATTTGTTTTGTCCAAAGGATGCTTCTGAATCAAGTTCTTATATATTTTATGTACTTCTTTTTTACATTACATGCGTAACATAAAAAAACAGGTTTTGTTGTTCTAAATTTCCCAAGAAATCAAAAAACGCAGCCTATTTGTAGTGTATACTCACCGACTACTCGCGTGAGTGTAATTGAAGTCTTTGGTAGCGTATACAAAATCGAGCAGTTGTTCGGTAGGATACTTATGGATGGAACTGTAAATCTGCAACTGCAGTTGTTGTCCCTTACTTAGGTACGACGTCAGACATTGTTTGCCTTCTTTGCAAACCGGTGTTTTGAACAACAAACACAAATTATAAATCGAGTAAATAATGTAGACTAAGAACAATTTTGTCAGTATAAATGTGAGGGATGGCCACTGCATTTTTACGAACTCCTGTCTAAAACGTCTTTGACATTATCGGCTCACAACTGTACGATACTGCGTGCCATACGCGCTGCAGATATATACTTTTCTGTTATTTCGTTTTTACAGTGATAGTATATTTCGAACGTTCAAGGTCATTAACACACCACATAATATTATTGATATATTATTGGATCAAAGATGTAACCGACATAATTTAAAGAAGAAATTATAACCGTGACCATGATCATCGTCAGTGCCAATGTGGTGTGTTTATCGTGAAAATGTGGCGTTAATGAGGTTAACAATGCCCTCTGTGACGGTGCAACGAACCCATGATCGGTAAGACAGCCCTCTTTCCATGGTAAATCGTCTGTGTAGCTTCTATACTACAAGTGTGCGGCGCGCACTTCCTTTTTACCGAGTGAACCAGCGGCTGAAAAAAAAACGGCGACAAAAGTAAGAAAGATTCAATTTTGAAATTAATTGGAGAAGCAAACGCTTGAATAAAATAATATTTGTTGTGTCGCTAGTTAATTACCATAGTATAGTTAATTAAAAAGAGCACACCTTTACCACAGACGAGATATATTTTTTCCAACTTTTAAATAACTTAATACTTCATAATTAACATGTAGTATAGAAATGTATTAGCTTTTAAATCAAATTTGATTCCTCACTTGACACTTCAAATTGCGAGACAGAAAATCATTACACGTCCAGTACTTCGTCTGTGACGTTCTCTGTTTCGTTGATAACTGTAGTATTTCGTTTGTGCTCTCAACTTTACCGACTTCGATGTTCACTAATATTTATGTTAGTCACTAAAGAAACATTCTACATAGACGAGTCAATGACTTGCTGCATGATGTAAGAATAAATATTTTTAAACGAAATAAACTCAAGATTGTTAAAGTGGAAACTTCATTCTTTAAAATAAAATCAAGTTAAGTATTCTACAATGTTTTTTCACGAAATTATAACAGTTTAAAGTACTGACAATTTTTTATTTAGTATATGAATATTTTCTTATTTAAGAATTTCTTATGAATTTTGTGTATTTGATTTAGAGCAGAATTTTTTATTTTTTATTCCCAGTTAACATTTCGTGTGAAATTGTGTATTGGATTTAAATTAAAGATTACAGCGCCAACGGTGAAATATGGAATACACTTCCTACGAACGTATCGATATTTCTCACGATCGATTTTTGAAGGGGAATAATGGCGGACGGAAGCATATCCTATCTGTAAAGAAGAAAGTATTATTCATAAAATTAATTCAGAAGGAAGTATCGTTCAGAATACTATTTTTTAGATAAAAATTTAAATCAATAGTTGTTAAATTTGTGTTTGTATTCTGAATTTTTTTTAGAAAAAAAACGTGCATTTTTGGATTCAATTTAAGGTAAGATTTAACCAAATAATTATTACGTATAAATTTTCAACAATTGAAAAAATAATACCATCTAAATATTTAAATAGAATATACTATAATAAAAATTATTTATAATTTTATACCAAAATTTAATTTCAATTCTAATCAGTATAAATATTGTAACCTTGCAATTGACTAACTCATTGTTATATACACGTATTTTACCACATATATGTTTTTACACAGACATTTATATTATAACATTTTTTACCTATTTATTGATTCTTTAACTTCATACTGCGTAGTTCTTAACAATTCTAATATTAAATTCAACAATAATTTATTAGGAATGTACGTATTTAATAGTTAAAATAATAATTTTACTATGTAATATAATAAAATTTCTCATGTTTCAGTTTAAAGTATTGACAAGGTTCCATCAGGTGTGTCAATATTTTCCTTCTTTTTTAAGAATTTCTCATGAATTTTGTGCATTTGATTTAAACCAGAATTTTTTATTTTTTATTCCGTTATTACTTCGTGCGATTACAGCGCCTCAACGGTGAAACATGCAATATACTTCCTACGATTCTCGAAATAATCGATATTAAAGCACAATCGATTTTAAAGGGCCAAGAATGGCGGAAGGAAGCATACCTCGTCTCTAAAGAAGATATTATTCAGAAAAATCATCCATAAAGAAGTATCATAAATTCTCAGGTAAAAATTAAAATCAATAGCTGTTAGATTTGTATTTGTGTTGTGAATTTTATTATGATGTATATAATAATAATAATAATATATATATATATATATATATATATATATATATATATATATATATATATATATATATATATATATATATGTATGTATGTATGTATAATATTTATAACAATATATATTATATATTGTGAAATTATAATTTTTGGTAATTAATCGAGAAAAAGTATATAATTTTTAGTTCTCAAGTAAAAAGTAACTAATTTTTAGTTCTCTTTAACCAAATAAATACATATAATTTTCAACAATTAAAGAAATAACATTGCATTTACAATATTACATTTTACATATTACATTTACAACATTTAAACAGAATATGCTATGCTAAATGTCATTTAAATTTTGTTTCAATTCTAAGCAGTAGAAATATTGTAACCTTATAATTGACTAACTCATTGCTATATGTACATATATACACGTATTTTATTATATGCTTTTATACATACACTTCTGTTATAACATTTTTTACTTATTTATTGATTTTTTAACTTCATACTGCATAATTCTTAATAATTCTAATACTAAATTCAACAATAATTTATTAAGAACGTACGTGTTTCATAGTTAAAACAATAATTTTGCTGCGTAATATAATAAAACTTTTCAATTCTCAAAGTAAGGCGTAGAAGTAAGGCCTTGAAGCTCGAAATTCAAAACAACATGAGCACAATGTTTATGTGCGCCTTAGTTGTTGTGCCTGTCCGTTCAAGTTCACCCCAGCCCCTACTACTTTCTCATTTGCTGGACGAGACATATCGCGGAGAGTCATTCGACTGTCGAATTTCGTGACAATAATATGCGTTACGTCGCATTAGGTTCGTAACGTTTTCTAACCTGTCGGTGGCGTTTCTTCGATGGCGTCGCTTCTTCGACACTCTTTTACTTCCATTTATACCTGATTAATAGTATTATTTAATTAACACGGGTGTGTTTGACGATTAATTGAGCATTACGGTATCGAAATCGTGTAGTGTTTTGAAGTTTTTCGTTCAGATTTTTCTTCAATCGTCGTTCGTTTGTACGGTTACCGGTACTATCTTGTCTCACCTTTTTAATAGAATTTGAAGTTGATTATCGTTTTACTTTTACATATGTGTCTTCATTTAACATATTTGTTCTAACTTTTGGTTTCTTTTTGTACAGGTTATTCCTTGTTTGCAAAGATAGCATAAAACACATAGACGCCACGATTCCGATGAACTTTCACGGTAATCTGACAATATTTTATTCACTTTGGGTAACATTTGGTATACAATTCATATACATTTGAGATACGATTTACAGTATGTAATTTCGTAATTTATTTGGAATACTAAGATGAAGATAGAAAAGATTAAATCAATTAATATTTTATTTCGATATATACGAACTTGACATGGTATACGTATATTGTCAAGTGGATGTATATTCTTAGATATGTTTGCACTTTACTATACTATATGTACTTTATTATACTTTCTTGTTTTACTTTTTTCAAATGCTGACTTGCAATTGAAATAATTCAAAGCAAGATTTTACACACGTTTTTCGTGGTATTGTTTCTTAAGTATATTTGACTTAGAAATTTTGATTTGTGCAAATATTTTCGAATATTTATAACACGTGACGTGGTATGTTACTAATGTGTATACTTCCTACTCTAACGACGAACATTCAGAATATAATAATCGTCTTTCATTTACAGTATCCAATATTGAGAAATACTTTATAATTTACAACTAATATTGTTAATACATACTCAAATTTCTTTATAATCATGTTTTAGAAAAATAGTAGTATTTTCTAAATAAACGTATCCTTTGCCCTTCCCCTACTAATCAGTATTATTTTCAGAAAATTTTTATGATCGCGTGCAATGCGATCGGTAGAGTCAGTGTTTGTTGCGCAATATTTTAATATTTTTCTGAGCAAAGTGGCTTTTAAATATAATTATTAATTCATTTAAATCATAATTCGTGAAGTTAGAGTCAGTGAGTCCGCCGACTGTTACTTAAACGCGCGCATTGGTAGTCTTTTATTTTTTTTTCTTTTTTTTATTTTTTCTTGTTCAATATTCGTTTTCGGTATTAGAGTCAGTGCTCAAGAGGATAAGGCCTCTCCAGGAGATCAAGATCGTAAGTAGTTTTATATACACTTCAATTCATTCAATTTTTTTAAGTTTGACAACAAAGTATAATGTTTGACGTTTTGTTACAGACGCTTCACATCAGCAACAATTTTTTTGTATTTTTGAGGGAAAATACAACAGTGGCTCTAAGCCAAAAATGTAAGAATCTCTCATTATCTCCAACTTCAAATGTTTCTTTGCTTTCAAACATAAAGTCTAATGTTTAGTGTTTTGTTACAGATTTTCTACAATCTCCACTTCCCCTAATCTTTTAAGGATCTTATGATGCCTCAGAAGCTAAAAATGTAAGTATTTTAGCATGTTGTCTTTGAATTCTATTCTCTATAATACTCTTTCTGTTGAAGTCGAATGTAAAGTTATAATTATAAAATAAAAATACTTAAAATTATTAGTCCCAATTCTTATCACTATTAAAATTTAAATTCTCACAAATGCAATTGCATTCTTTAAAAACGAAATGTTTTTTAAGAAATTTTTCACGACGTTCACTTTTATCATGGGATTTTCAGTGAAATCTACTTGATGAGCATCCTCACGATAACGTTTCCTGATCCAGTGCAGCATTGATGATAGCGTTCTTCACATCTGTCCTGTGAGTCGCATGCATTTATGTTCCTCCGGTCATTCAGTCATGTCGTAGGATGAAAGGTCCGAATCGGCACGGGTGACTGGTTGTATACGTAGAATTTTTGATGAGCATAGTGACCGCGGGTATTTTTTGTACCCGTGAGTAGTAACATTTTCTTCAAGTTTTTTATGTATTAGATCAGGATAGGGCTTCTTGCATATCGCGATTTTAACAATTAAAATATATACATTTATAGTAATTATTTATAAAGTCAAAATATATTTAATATAATTGTTTGCAAAAGTAAAATATCCATGAATATTCATACGAATAAATAAATTATAAATATTTATGAATAATTATTATTAAAACGATTTCGTTTGAGCATTTCATAGCAGAGAAGACTGATACCATCCGACTTCGTTGCTGTGAAAGATGC